TTCACGTTTCTTTTTGGTGAATGGATTTCCTATATCAAAGCCGAACATGGATCCATTAACCTACAAATAATTTTTTTCATATAAATTACATATTCGATAATTATTATTTTTTTTTTAAATTAAGTTAATAAACGAACTTTTTTCAATTTAGCAGCTTGTTCTGCTGCACGGTCAGCGTGTGCTTCAGCAAGATCCATTTGGCGTTCCGTGTAATTTATTCGTTCTAACAAAAATTTATTTCAGTAAAGAATGTTATTAAAATGTTTTTAATTTTTCCAGCGACATAAAAGTGGGTACTACAAACATAGATTACATCTAATGTAAACTGAAAATCTTTTTGTAACTGCAAGTATACTTACGAGTTTGCTCTCCAAGTTTATTCAAGGTACTTTGTGCTGAATTTTCTGCGTCATTGATCATCTGCAACGATCGTTGAGTAGAAGCTACAGAGTCTATTTTGGTAGCTCGAATTTGAGACTTAATCTCTTCAACGTCTTCTTCAGTTTCTTGCTGTTGCCCATAAGGATCGTAACCACCATAACTACCAAAACCACCAGGTGGTGGTGGATATTGTCCGCCAGGTGGTGGATATTGTCCTCCAGGTGGTGGATATTGATATCCACCTTGTTGTTTAGTAGTAGCGCCAGAAAAGAGGTCTTCTCTCGCAGCAGAATTGTCTTGACGTTGACGATAACGACGATAATCGTCCATTTTTTAATAATAATTAGAAAAATGATAAATGATAAATGATAAATCCAATTTCTTTTATAACTTTGCGGTATGTTCCATATTTTAATTTTTAGAAATTAAAATTGTGCATTGTGGCCCAAATTTATAAACCAGTCACAAACAGGTAATTCTGATTGTGAACTTCATTGAAGTTTGTACTAGTTCGGCCGAAAATAGTAATCTTGATTTGATTTAAAAAATTTACATAAGTTATATATATATATGTATACTGTATTAAAAAAAATTATTTGTAGGTTAATGGATCCATGTTCGGCTTTGATATAGGAAATCCATTCACCAAAAAGAAACGTGAA